AAACTTACATTTCCTACACTACAAAGAGTCATAGGCTACAAGCATTTTACCTTGGGATAGAATCCTTCCGATGTTTCCCATCATATGAGAGACTTCGGAAGGATTCTATCCTATTCGATCAATTACAGAATTCTCAGCCACTTGGTGACCAGAGAATAGTAATAATAGTCTAGAAAGGCAAATTTCTTCCGATGCCTCTCATTCAGTGAGAGACTTCGGATGAAATTTGCTTTGCTAGACTATTAATTAACCAAGGATTACAAGTAGAGTACATTGAAGCAAAGTTCTTCCGAGGTTTCTCATTGAATGAGAGACTTCGGAAAAAATTTTCCCCATTCGAGTAATTGTAGAACCCTTGGCCTCTTGGAGAACAAGGAGAAGTAATAAGGTGTATGAGGGTAATAACGTATTCGAAATTTATTATGAAGTGCAATACTTGTGCAGTCTAACCACCATATGATAGCAGCTAGACTGTAAAGGTATTGCATTTCCGGAAAAATCCTACTTTTAGCAACTTGTGAGATTTTGATTCCGCTCTGGCCATAGAAAAGGACTGCCTTACTCCGGCCTTCACATGCGAAGTATTTCCTTTGGAAAAGTGAACTTTTTAGCATTTCGAAGCTGGCCTTTAGTGGGCTCTCCGAGCCATGCGAGGTGACTTTTTTTTGATTAGATTGTCCAGTGAATGCTAACAAATACGAATAAAATCTCATATCTCGACTAAGATATTAATATGAAACAAGTTTTCGTTTAAATCTAATATTAAAATGAATAAAAACTTCACTTTTATACTTTTTATTCAAGTAAAGGTGATCCCACGAAGATCTAAACGACAGATTTCAAAATAAATAAGATAAACTGAATCAGCAGGATCCAAATATGAATGTTATGATCTTAGTTTGAAAAGTTACTAAAAGAATAAAAAGATTTGTGAATTACGTTTTAATTTCCATAATTTTTATCAATTAATCATCATGTTATGATTTACATATCAAATTTAATTTCAAATATGTGTAATTATCACTAATCATAATTTGAATTTCAAATTTAAGTATAATTGGAGCTTTTGAATGAACCCATAATATTTTCAGCTTACATAATTATGGTGTATTATGTAATATCCGGTTTCTCAGTTAAATAATAGATTTGAATGCATTCTTTTGAGGATTTGACTAAAAATAGTATAATGAAAATGGATCACTACAGAATTATTTTATATTCAATAAACCATTTTGCGTAAATGGTGGTTCTTATCATCTATCAAATTTCATAAGAAGTCTCTTAAAAATCTTGGAGTTCTTCAAGAAACGATCTTGTTCAAGATACATATCGAGATACTTTAATAAAATTAATCATAAATCAAAGCAAAACATCACATAAACTCATATTATTTTCTAATATATAACTATTTTATATAAAAATCAAATTCAATGATCTTAAAAGCGAAGGATAAACCTCAAAATTTACGAATATAATGAGTGGGAATATAATGCTTATCTATCATAAAACCATATGAAATATCAATTTTTGCTTTACGCCTAATTTTTGACGACAATTAGCAAAAAATGTTAAATGTTAACACTCAGTCCATTTGAATATGAAAAATAAAATTGACTTTGATTAAATGTTTTTATTTATCATGCAATTCTTCTTGCGACCAAAGATTTGAATAAAATTTCAAAAAATAAGATAGCTTAAAAAATAATATACGGTAAAAAAAAAAAAAAAAAAAAAAAGGTAGTGGGGCTTCCAGGCACTTCGTGCCTTCTAGCCCTGAAGATGTTTAGTATAAATGAAGTCTTAGAGGACAAACATGACTATGAGTTTTGATATGACAAGATAGAATATGAGAGAGGTCCTATAAACCGGAGAAAGTGTTATATAAACATCTGTCATATTACTCAGAATATTATACAGAATTCAATAAAAATAATGTTTAGGGTAGAAGGTTAGATATAACCTCTTTTCTAACCTCTTTTCTACCCTCTTGAATTTGTCAAGATTTCTTCGTAAATGTTTTGTCAAGACTTCTTCGTAAATGTTTTGTCAAGACTTCTTCGTAAATGTTTTGTCAAGACTTCTTCGTAAATGTTTTGTCAAGACTTCTTCGTAAATGTTTTGTCAAGACTTCTTCGTAAAATCAGACAAAAATAATGTTTAGGGTAGAAGGTTAGATATAACCTCTTTTCTAACCTCTTTTCTACCCTCTTGAATTTTCATGAAATTTACACCAAAAATATACTACTAGGGTCATTTACGAAGAAATCTCAACAAAGTCTTTACGATGAAATCTCAACAAAACATAGACAAGAAAGTTCATGAGAAATTAGATGAAGAAGTCTTAACAAAGTCTTTACGAAGAAATTCATGAAAATTCAAGAGGGTAGAAAAGAGGTTAGAAAAGAGGTTATATCTAACCTTCTACCCTAAAATATATTTTTGGGTCATTTACGCTCATTTACGAAGAAATCTCAACAAAGTCTTTACGAAGAAGTCACAATAAAACATCTGTCACTTTTCAGGAAAAAACATTTTTATTATATATATAAAATGAATTTTACAAAACCACCGTTACCCTTCTTTGGAAATAAGAGTAGATGTAAAGATATTCTATTGAGAGAACTTAAGAAACTACCGAATGGTCTAACATTTGTAGACTTGTTCGGTGGAAGTTTCTATATATCTCATTTGTGCCATACAATATTTCCTGACTCAAAGATTATATGCAATGACTTCGACAACTATATGAACCGTCTCAAACATATACCAGACACAAACAAAATATTGAAAGAGTTAAAAGAAAAGATACCTATAGGTAAGATGGAACGTATACCATTAGATAAGAAAAATACTGTCAGAGAGGTTTTGAAAAAGGCAGAGTATATTGACTGGGATAGTATATCTGCTAGACTATTATATAGTGGTGCTATAAGAGTTCATGACATTGAAACACTTATGTCAAAAGTTTTATATCTTAACTATACAAATGTTTTCAAAGAGAACATAGAAAAATATATTGAGGGTATAGAGTTTGTGAGATGTCATTGGACAGAGTTGTATGAAAAATATAAAGACAAGGAAAATGTTTTCTTTATAGTGGACCCGCCGTTCTATAACACATGGGATTTTCAATACCAAGTAGACTGGACTTTGAGAGACTCTTTAGAAACTTTAGACGTTTTACATAACCATCCATGCTTTTACTTTACATCCGATAAAAGTGGTTTGGAAAGTGTCATGAGATGGTTAGAGGACATACATGACTATGAGTTTAGATACGATAAGATAGAATATGAGAGAGGTCCTATAAACTGGAGAAAGTGTCATAACAAAGAAATTTTACTAGTAAGTAAATGTGGTTTGAAATAGGACTACTTGTTTTAGGTTTTTTCCATTGTGTCATTTACTTATTTGACGTGGCAGAAAGATATAGAGAATATGAAGATGAACCAATGCCTGCAAATGTTCAGCATATGTACTCGTAAGAGATATTTTTATCTAATATTAAATGGACGCACAGAACTTAGCGAATGCACAGCAACCTGGACAACCAAACCCAGAGAATATTCCAAATGAAGTTAGAATACAAACTGCAATGGCAAACTATGGTCAAGTGCCAACAGATGTACAAATGCAAACTGCCATGTCAAATGACGCTGCGTTAGGCTTACCACCATGGTATGCAAATATGAGATGGAAAGAGTTTTATACAAACCCTGAAGTGGGATATAAACAACTCTATGCAGATGACGCGAACACAGGAGTTGACCCAGAGTATGTTTTCTACCAGAGGAGAAATAGAATGTATGAGCTCCAGTTAAAGAATGCTATGGAACTCAACAGGAAACGTAAGAGACTAGGTGGACATTAGATTTTTACATATAGTAAAATGGGTTTCTTCAGTAGTATTGGAAACTTCTTTCGAAATGTTGGAAGAGGTATATGGAATGGAATAAAAACCGTAGGAAGAGGAATTTGGAACGGAGTCAAAAATATTGGTAAAAGAGTAGGTCAGTTCGTTGGTATTATACCTAAAGACCCTGAACCAGAAGAACAAGCTCCTGTTATACAACAGCCTGAACCTGCACCACAGTCAAGTTGGCAACCAAATCCAACACCTCAACCGTATTAAAATTATATTTTTACCGTTCGATAGTAGTTGTATATGAAACTAAGTTCTAAGTAAAACGCGTGGTATAATGGAATTATTTCTCTTTCTTCCATCTGTAGTAAACCATACTTGAAAGTCTGAAATACTTCCACTTGGTGGTTCGTATAGCTTTGTAGGTTTTTCGTAAAAGTCATTTGCCAAGCATAAAAAAGAGTTTTGTGCACCAGAAAATGAAGCATGAACTATAATAGCATCTGAGTCGAAAACATCTTTAAATAAATATGGTTCATCTCTTGCATATCGACTGTAAATATTTGCTAAAGGAAGTTCGACTTTCTGATTTAACATTCTTTGCAAATAATACCATGACATTGCAGTGAATTCTGTATATATTTGTTCGTCTTTCTTTGGATTGTCTTCGTAGATTTGAAATGACACTTGTGAATTTTGTTTGTCATATACAATTCTCACATAAAGTGTGCTCTCGGTATTTGCATATTCATCAGCATATTTTGCATAACATGAATTTATTTTATCTTCTATATTTTTAACGCAGTCTGTAGAGAAGATGAAAGGTCAACTTGTATTAGCTCAATTTCTTCCCACATTTTTCGTTTCCCTTCAGATATATAATCTATATGAAACCTTACAATAAATGGAAAACTTTTATCTTCTACAGACACAAACTTCATTCTACGAAAGCCAATAGCTTTTGTGACAGATGGGTCTCTTAGCCATCTTAATGGGTAGTCAAAACGATAGCCTTCATGCTTTACGGTCTCTGTCTCAAACTTTTGACCGACATTCGTAAAAAGTTCATCTAATGGTTTAGTTGTAGCAACTCTTGAATTTTCTTTTCTATTGAAAGCATATTTTATCTAGAATAAAAATGTCGAAAGAAACAGCGTCTATGAGAGAAATACAACACAACCGACAACTCATTTTGCAAGCTCTAAATAAGAACACAACAAACTTTTCAAACTATTCTAAGATATCTGAGTCATTGAAAGAAGGAAACTTAAAACTGACGATAAACCCAATGACAGATGAGTTTCTGTTTCAAGACAGTAAGAACCATACTGTCTGTGTAAATCCAACAAAAGGAACTTTAAACGAGAAGCCTATAAAAGAACTTCTTTTGAAAGCAGATGTTGACAACAAAGCTGACAAAGAGTATGTCATTGAAAAAGTTCAAGAAGAACATGACAGAGCAGATGCAACATATGCAACGAAAGAACATACTCATCCTGAACTAGCAGACAAAACATATGTTGACAATAAAATGTCAAGTGAAGTGACAAGAGCTGACAAAGAATATTCTAAAAAGACTCATACACATACCATTGCAAATATTACAAACTTACAAGAAACCTTAAACAGGAAAAGTGACGTTGGACATACACATTCTATATCTGAAATAACAGACTTAAACGTTAGCCTTGAAAAGAAAGCTGACAAAACATATGTCAACAGTGAGTTAGAGGAGAAAGTAGATAAGGGACTTATGGCTAGTGTGTTAGTGAAGAAGGCAGATAAGGAATATGTGGATGAAAAAGATGAAGAAATTAAAAAAATGGTTGAATGGTATAATGAACGGACATCGAAGATTTTAGAAGGTAAAGCCAATACAGGGTGGGTTTCAGGATGTTTAGACCTTAAAGCCGACAAAGAAACTGTAGATATGTTGGCACAAACGGTTTCAAGTCATACCAGAGGTTTAATGGAAGATGGACAACAGTTGAAAGAGCTTGAGAAAGGTGTTACAGAGTTAAGGAATACAAAAGCAGACTCGACATGGATAAAAGGATATGTAGATGCAACAAAAGAACGTATTTTCGCATGGACAGAAGGAACATACCCACAAAAATATCATAGACATAGCATCTCTGACGTAAATGAACTTGAAGAAAAGTTATATAAAAAAGCAGACAAAACAGAGCTTCAAACATTAAAGACAGAAATACTTCAAACAATATATCCTATAGGTTCTATTTACACGTCAATGAACTCTACCAGACCAGAAGTAGTACTTGGTCTCGGAACTTGGACTCAAATAGTCGACAGGTTTTTGTATTGTGCAAACTCTTCAAAGGAAACAGGTGGAAGTAAAACGATTTCAGGTGAAAACTTACCTGCACACAGTCATTACATAAATTTAACTACAGCTGAAGCAGGTTGGCATAAGCATAGATATTGGGATTGGACAGGAATGACAAAAGGTAAAGGATATGATGTTAAAGACGACGTTAAGTTTGCTATAAATTGTTACTGGAGTGACACTCAGGGAGAAGGAAACCATACACATTTCGTTTCAGGATATACGCAAACAACGGGACAAAGTAAAGACTACATGCCACCTTACATGACAGTTTACGCATGGTATAGAATTGCTTAGTCGTCATTTTCAACTTCTTTAGCATATTCGTCAGGAGTTGTCTTATATTTGTTAGGAACTGTCTTTGAAAGTATACCACCTTGAACTTTGACAAGTTTGAAACGAGGTCTGACAATAGTAGTTTTATCTTCTGCTTGCAGTCTGTACATTTTGCCATGTTTGCCTAAAACTTCATAATATTCTCTTGTATACTTTCTTCTATTTTTACGAACACGAACGTGAGTACCTGTCGAGTTCCCATTGTTGTCATAGTCAATAGTATTTTCATATGGGTCGCGTTTAGGTATTTCTATTTTTACTTTGTCACCTTTCTTAAGTTTGAAGCCTGGCATTCTTTCTTGTTTGTCTCTTTTGACTAAACTATTAAATATATAGTCTTTCTCTAAGTCAGGGTTGTTTTTCATTTCTTCGGGGGAGTGGTTTCCCAAACCTTTTTGTTTACGGCTATTGTAAATATTTAAAACTTGTCTCATCTTTGCCATGGAGAAGTGTCTATACTTGTCGTCATATGACATTTCATTTGCTTCACCACCTTGTGGTTGGTTTAAGTCTCTTAAGATTTTTATACAACTGTCAATGACACCAAGAGCAGAATGGTTTTGGTCGACAATGAAATATTGGTTTACATTTTTTGAACGCAGATAGTTTTTAATATCGTCTGATTTGAAAGAACTTTCACAGTCAGATGTCAGTTTTGTTGGATGGTATTTGTCAACGAATATTGTCAAAGCAGTTTTCACATCTAAAATATTTTGGACTGTAATGGTATGGCTTCACAGTATCTTGTGTTTTGACCGACAAATATTAGCCAGTATGGTGGTCCATCTTCTCTATACCTCGGAATGTTTTCCAAGATATCCATAAACCAAGCATTTGGTGTTGAACTAAAGATTTTTATCATGAGTGCTTTCTTTGTCGCTTTAGAAACATAGGGGTCCTTGTTTGGATTCGTCATTTTTACCCTATAAGAAATGGGTTTATTTGGCGCATTAGCAGGAGTTGCATCCAGATTTTTGCCCGCAGTGGGAACAATAGCCAGAGGTGCATTTGGAATTGGAAGGAAGATTTTGAGTACATTAGGTATACTGAAAGAGAAAGCACAGCCTATTATACAAACTGTACAGAAAGGTTGGGAGGTAGCACGAGATGCAACAAATCTTATTCCAAATCCTGAAACAAGAGGAAAAGTTCAAGGATGGATGGACAATGTAGGAAGACAAGCAGGAAACTACTATAACAAAGCAAATGACTACTATAACCAAGCAGGGCACTATATGGACCAAGGTGAAAGATTCTTTAACAGAGGATATAACCATGCACAACAGTGGGTAAACAACAACCAACCGCAACCGCCTCAAACGTGGGGAATGTAAATTTTTTTACTGAGATGAAATGAACAATACAGCATTGAGACAAATGGGTTCAAGATGGCTTTGTCGGCTTCCAGCAGTTACACAACCACGTGTTTGTCAAGTTCTTCCTATACCTCAAGAAGTTTTAGACCGACTTAAAAAACCTAAACAACCAGTTGAAAACAAACCAAACTAAAATTTTTTACTGAGATGAAATGACCGAAGAAGTTGAAACGGTAGATTTGACACCACAAACAAAAAGTTCAGAACCATTGTCAAAACCTGTCAAAGAACTTACAGATGAAGAGAAAAATTCAATAATAGAAAGTGCCAGGTCTGGAAATACAAACCCTAACTATAAAGTCACTTTTCATAGAAATGGAACGGCTAGTATCTCAAAAAAGAAACAGACTCTCACAAATAAAATATTGAAGTCTGAAGGAGCTTTCGAGACAACAGATGGGAAAGTTTACTTCACTGACCAACAGTTCATTATAGAACATCTCATTGACTTAGAGTCGAAATATTCTAAACTTTACAACAAACACAAAAAGTTGAAAGGAAAACAAAAACAGATGGCATATGATATTTATGAAGATGTTGACGACACAACTGTTCAAGCAAGTGAGGTAAAGTCAGGTGAACCAAAAAGTGACGAAAAACCGATAGAAGAAGGTGAGCCAAAAACTGAAGATAAACCAAAACCAAAGGTTAGTTTCCAAACTAAACCAAGTCAACCTTCATTAGCTGGTATGGGTTGGCGTCAAAGACTTTTGGCAGCAGGCGGTTACGTAAAGTAAAGAAAAAAAATATTTTTTTTATTTTTATAAAAATGCCCCCGCATAGAATGGACAGAAGGTCTGCTAGAATAAAAGCAGAGTTAGAAAGATATGGCTGGAGAGTTTCAAAGAAGTTTAAATATAGGAAGGGAAGACCCATAAAAGTCTATGACAAATTGTCTGGTCTGACCTACGAAATGGACTTGGAAACAGCGCGCGCAAACTATCCAAACAGACTAGAGAGGTTAGAAGAAGAACGTCTTATGGACATGCCTTTCAATGTTTCTGAACCGCAAGTTGAAGGACACGACGGCTTTGCCAGATTCTATTGGAAACATGACGAACAATTGCATCCTTTGAGAAGGAAAAAAGGAAAAGGTGAAGACAAACATGCTCCCATGGAAAGAACAAGATATGCATATGAAAAGTACCGTGAAGTTAGAAGTCAAATTACATCTGGTCGAACCTTTACAGTAAACTTTGACGAAGGAAAGAACAAAGAAGGCTTCATGGGAGTACTTGCTGCATACAAGACGGAAATAAGAAAGGATACAATCTCAGACTAACCGTACAGATTTGGACGGTCACATTTACTATGCACATGGCAATGTCACAACAGCCGCACAACTTCTTGACGCTTTCAAGACTACAAAGAGAGAACAAATGGTTGACTCCGACTCAGACATTTTGAATGCAATTGAAGGAATTGCAAGTGTAAAGTTTGAATGGTACCAACCTAACCCTCAAGCAGTCAGACAACATGTTTGTTAGATGAGAAATATGAAATGGCATACAATTTTAAAACAATATATTTTTACATATATTAAATGTTTCAGGTTGAAAAACAAAGAACAAAAGTAGCAGATACAAAACCGTTAGACTATATCTTCACAAATGCCGGTAGGGCAATATCAGATGAAGAAATTTCATCCGGTGCTTACAAGTTTGACTATCCAATTCGTTGGCTTCAAAGTCCTTCAGAAGCAAAGGCAATAGGATTTAGAAGAGTTTTGTTTTCAAAAAGAACTAACGCATTTATGTTCGCAGTATATTTTCATGGGCAATATGAAGGTTCTGATGGTCTAATAGACAAATTTGACGAAATGAGAATCTTTACAGTTCGTTCAGACGAAAGTCTTGAGAAAACTCTAAATGACTTTCAAACTCAAATGAACAAATATTATTGGGAATTTCAAGAAAAATACGACTCTTTACTAAATGGAACATACTATCTGAAACTAGAATACAACAAGATGAATTCCACCGTTTCATTTCAAAGGATTGAAATTAACCCTCCAAGAAGTACACAGTTTTTATTTTGGCAAGTAGACAAACGTTCTTGGGCACAATTTCTTCGGTTACTAAACCAGAACGAACCATTACCACCTGACGGTCCGTTCTGGTTTATACGCCCACCAACAGATTTGACAGTTTATAGAAACGTGTTTGACCCTCAAAATGTCATGTGTCATGCAAGTTTTAGTTCAAGCAACAATAGTTTTCTTTGTATCGGTAAGGACTTTTATGACCTTACCTCTAAATTCTACGAACCACCTAGTAACAGTTTCTCTGACTTTCAAGTTTGGTTCACAACAAACGGTGTGCAGCATATTATACCATTGTACTATGACTTTTATCTCGAATTGTCTTTCATATATAACTACGGAAAAGTGCTGAAAAAGTATTGAAAAATGAGTTTTTGGTTGAAAGAATACGGTGGAGCCAAAAGTGGCTCGACCTCAAAACAAGCATTTTGTGAAGAATATACCAACCCGCGGAATTCCGCGGGTTGCTTTTTATACAAAGTTCAACAGGTGAATTTTCATGAATTTCCTTAAGATAGAAAAAAAGTGAGTTAAAATGAGATGTTTACTGAGGGGGTCGACGGTTAAGCCACAAACGAATGTCCGACGGTTAAGCCACAAACGAATGTCCGACGTCCCACCAAAAAATATTTTTTTTATTTTTATTGTAAGAACAGTATGTCAGTCGAAGCAAAAACGTTCACGAAATCTAATGGCGAAACATTCACAAAAGGCACTTACAACGGTATTGAAGTCTTACGTAGAGACAAGGATGGTTATATAAATGTAACAAATATGTGTCAGCAGTTTAGGAAAGACTTTAGAAAGTTGTTGGAAAATAAGTCCTGGGAAGAGTATTATACGGCATTTTGTGAAGAATATACCAACCGCCGGAATTCCGACGGTTGCTTTTTATACAAAGTTCATGCAGGAATTCCGGATGAAATCAAACAGGTTAGAGGAATGTATGTAGACCCAAGACTTGTAAACTATATAGCAATGTGGGCTTCACCAAAATATTGCATAGCAGTTGGAAAAATTCTGGACTCCATAGACAAGAAAGTTCATGAGAAGTTAGATGAAGAAGAAGAACTCGAAGATACAGTAGAAAATGCTAAACCTTTGTTCGAAGAAGAAGTTAGAAAAATGCATGAAAAACAAATAGAACATGAACGTGAGATATGTTCTGGTTATAGAGACTCGCCATACGAACTAGACCAATGGGAACAAGAAGATTTAAAGAGAGAATTTAGAGAATATGAACTCGCCAAGATAGCATTAGAAGCTGCAGAAGAGAGGTTAAAAGTTTGGGGTCGTTTTGTACAAAAATATTGTGAGTAAATGAACCATTTATTTTTATTGAAATTTACACCAAAAATATATTTTAGGGTAGAAGGGTAGCTCTACCCTCTTTTCTACCCTCTTTTCTACCCTCTTGAATTTTCATGAATTTCATCGTAAATGTTTTGTCAAGACTTCTTCATAAATGTTTTGTCAAACATGAACGTAAATGTTTTGTCAAGACTTCTTCATCGTAATGAGTGTAAAGGACCCAAAAATATATTTTAGGGTAGAAGGGTAGCTCTACCCTCTTTTCTACCCTCTTTTCTACCCTCTTGAATTTTCATGAATTTTCCCGAAATAAAAAATAAAACTAACTTTATTTTATTTATTTTTTTTATTTTGTATAAAAAAATAAAAATGTCAACAATCGGCACAACAACAATTCAAACAACTACAGCACCAAACTCTTTAGTCATGAACCCAACTTCAATGTTAGTAGAGATGAAAAGCTTCATTCCTTCTTCATATACTTTCGAAACAAAAATCCAGAAGATAAAGCAAGAACTTTTAACAAGTAATTTAGACTGTAGTGCGAAAGATGAAACAAATGAACAGTATCTTTATGAAATGCAGGATATTATTGACCATCTACCTAAACTTCCTGAAATACAACAACAAAAACTAACCATTCCCGAATTTGACGAAATAGAAGTCAGACTGACTGACTCAGTAGAAATAAAGAAGTTCATACGAAAGGTAAACTATGAATTCCTTGGATTTCATTGCAACCACAAAGTCATGGACATTGACCTTTACAAATCCGAAGAATTTAAGACCTACGACAACTTTGTTTCGTTAGTTGCAAAATGTGTATGGCAGATAAGAGATAAAGATAGAAGAGGTAAAGTATGGAATGAACAGATAAAACCCGCAACTTTTGAGTTAAAGAAAACCATTGACGCCTTAGTCATACTAGCAGGTAAGATTTCAATGTACAATGCTAAAATGAACCCACAATGTTCAAAATGTAAAGCAGCAATGAGGAAATATAACTACTCCGTCAAAGAGATAGAACGTATGCGAAACGACTATGCTGACTTAAAGACAGAAATGTCAAACAATGAGTTTGAAACAGTTGGAAAGATAGACAATGACACCAAAGTGGTTAGAATAGGTGATTTAAACGTAAGATACTCAAAGAAATACAACAAATATTCTTTGTCAGACATTTTATCTCCATCTGGAAAGAAAGCAAAGGACTGGGTTAGAATTGCTTCTACTCAGAAAATTTTGACAAGAAATCCTGAGCTTATGATATCGGTAAGATTCTATGGAACTACAGCATATCTCATCGACAAAAGTCTTATACCAATAGTTTTGTTATGGTTAGACCCAGTTGTTGGATATAATTTCATAACATATGGTTCGTTCGACTCAGAACGTTGCAGTGAAGGCTTACTTTACATCGTTCAGAAACCGAAGGACTTCAACACAAAAAGATATAAGATAGGAAGGACATATAATATAACTCTAAGATATGACAGTACAGTCAATAGAGTCAAGGTTGTGTTGGTTAACGATATGAGAGCTGCTGAAACAGAACTACTTGAAAAGTTTGAGAAAATGTATGGTGCTCCCATAAAAGGTAAAGAAACGTTTGAAGTAGATGAGATAGATAAAGCTATAAAATTATTTGACGAAGTTGCTGAAAAATACATGTAAAAATAACGTTTACCATGTAAAACGCTTATAAAATAACTGGGGTAGAAAAGAGGTTAGAAAACAGGTTATATCTAACCATCTACCCTAAAATATATTTTTTGGTCATTTACGCTCATTACGAAGAAGAAGTTTCGACAAAACATATATGAAGAAGTTTCGACAAAACATATATGAAGAAGTCTTGACAAAAATATATGAAGAAGTCTTGACAAAACATTTACGATGAAATCATGAAAATTCATGAAAATTCACGAGGGTAGAAAAGAGGTTAGAAAACAGGTTATATCTAACCTTCTACCCTAAAATATATTTTTGCTGAAAAATGACCAAATTTCATGAATTTCCTTAAGATAGAAAAAATAACGCTAATTTTATTTTATTTATTTTTTTATTTTGTATGTAAGGACAGATATGACAACAACAGAGAACACAAACAGTTATAGTCCATGAAGCTATAAATGAAGAATATGAGTGGGTTCAGTTTAACAAACAACTCCGTCTCATTCGTTCGGTCAAAGACGATATGTACCAAATGCAAAGTATTTTGACAGCATGTTTTGCTCCAGATACTATGAAACCACAAGATTGGTTTGAATTAAATAGCACTCATGAACTCCTCAGTGAGTTTGAACATGTAGAACTTAAAAAGATGTACCAAGACAGACAAAACTTACCATCACATCTAAAAGGTATATATGTTCATAAGTTCCTAGTTAGTTCAATAGCAATGTGGGCTTCACCTCGTTATGCTTGGTATGTTTGTAAACTTCTTGACGAACTTTGTACAAAGCAGAGAGAAGATATGATGAAAGAAGACAAAAACATACAGAAAAGAATACCACGTTCGGTACCAAAAGGAAAGGAAAAGAACTATAAGTATATGATTTACACTGAAGAGATGGAAAATGAAGAAGACAGAGATATGGTTATGTTGCATTTAGTCAGAAGAAACAACAAAAGCTTTTACGACCTTGCTAAGATTTACAAATCTGACAGAAATTGGTTCTATCGCGAAAACTTACCGATTTCAATGACACCGAATGAAGATGTTAAACAGATAGTTCAAGATACGTTACCTCAAACACACTATGATATGAAAGGTTGTACAATACTTACCTTCAAAGAAGATTTGCCATTGTTAAAGGAAAAAATAACAGAGTATTTTGACAACTTCAAACAAGTAGGGTAAATTTCAATCTTTATTTTTCAAGCTTGCCTTTTACATTCTGCCTGAGGAAGTCTTTAACAAGCTCGTTAATTTCAATTAGATAAATTGCTTCGTCTAAGGGGTCAAGCTCCATACTGAGTCAGTACAATATTGTACTTTTTCAAGACAATGTTGTATAAATTCAGTACAATATTGTACTTTTTCAAGACAATGTTGTATAAATTCAGTACAATATTGTACTTTTTCAGAACAATGTTGTATAAATTCAGAACAATGTTGTATAAATTCAGTACAATGTCTCTCAAATTTGAGTACGGCTGTACTTTTTCAGAACAAGTCTTGAACTTTTTCAGAACAATGTTGTACTTTTTCAAGACAATGTTGTACTTTTTCAAGACAATGTTGTACTTTTTCAAGACAATGTTGTACTTTTTCAGAACAATGTTGTATAAATTCAGTACAATATTGTACTTTTTCAGAACAATGTTGTATAAATTCAGTACAATGTCTCTCAAATTTGAGTACGGCTGTACTTTTTCAGAACAAGTCTTGAACTTTTTCAGAACAATGTTGTACTTTTTCAAGACAATGTTGTACTTTTTCAAGACAATGTTGTACTTTTTCAAGACAATGTTGTACTTTTTCAAGACAATATTGTACTTTTTCAAGACAATATTATATTGTTTCAGAACAAAGACGGTTAAGACACAAACGAATGTCCGACGTCCCACCTACTGAACCCGTTCCACAGCCAGAAGAACCGACAGCCCCAGCACCACAACAGACTTACTACGACTAAACATTATTTTTCAAGCTTGACTTTTTACAATTTGAACTTTGTTCGCGTAGGTATGAATTCTGAAAGAAGTATGAGGGTCTTGTATGACTTTGTACTTCTCCCATAGTTCATGTCTGTCAAACTTACCTGCCATGGACTCTTTCATAAGTTCCATGAAATCGTCTTCGGACAATCCAGGGAAGAGTATAATGTCAGTAAGTATTCTTTTAACATCCTTACTTAAACTCTTTGCTGTCTGTACACAAATGACAACTGAGATGTTAAAGTGTCTGAGCTTCTTAAGAATTCGACACATATCTTGTTCTCTGTTCTTTAACAAAGGATGAGAAGCAAAGTCATCTAAGATAAGAAGACATCTATGAGGGTACGTTTTCCAATCGTAAGATTGCAATTTCTTCGAAATGTATTCTATCTCTTTCTGTTTGTTTCTGAAGTGTTTCTTCTCTAATATTCTCTGCATTTCCTCATTTGGGTCTTTAAACTTCGAGTTTATATACTCATTTATAGCATTATACTTCAAAACTCTTCTTTGGTACTTCTTTATCCAATCTAACAACTCAGAGTCTTTTATACATACTAACTTAGACTTTTTTATAATATCTTTGAACGAATTTACGGTTTGGTCAAATTGACCAGAAGTACTACAAATGACTACTAACTCATAGAATGGGTTCTTCTCATCTAGTTCTTGTTGTTGTGCAGCCATTTTAAGATAAGTGAAAGTCTTACCCGACCCAGGTGGTGCAATTAGACCTGTTATACCATTCTGAGCAAATAAGAACTTGTCATGTATGGGTTTTATCTGAGCATTTTCTAACTTTCTCTTGTTCTTCTTCAAAACATTCTCAAATTTCTTGTCAATGTCAGCAAACTTTTTTTCTAACATATTTTTAGAAAAATTAAAATTTTTATCTTTTTGAAAATGTCTAGCGATTTCGCTATCTATATTCGAGACAAACTTTTCGACAGCAAAACATCTGTCGACCATAAAATCTTACATAGTGTAAACAAGAAAGGTGAATTTGTTCTAAAGTTCTGTTTCTGGGAATATGACAAGAACCATAAAACATTAGGCAGAGAAGTCTTTAAGTTTGTCAATGACAGACTTGTTGACAGAGATGACGCCTCTTGGAGAGATGAAGTCCAACAAAAGTTCTTAGAATGCAAAGAAGACACATGCGCTGTTCTTGAAGATGAAATAGGAAACAGAATAGAAGAGCTATTAAAGGACAAAGAACTTTTACATAAATATGGTTCTGAGAAATTTGACATAACTCCACCAGAAAAGAAGAAGAAGAAGAGAGAAGAAAGAAAAGAAAGTAGAAGAAGAGAAGAAAGAACCTGAACCAGTTCCAGAGAAAAAGAAATTTGACATGTAAAAATAAAATTTTATTTTTAGAACATTTCTGGGTCAATGTCAATGTTCTCTTCCTCTTTAGGGGCAAACACTGGCTTAGACTCTAAAATCTTTTTACCTAATTTACCTTGAACTTCAACTATCTTAGACTCATAATATTCATAGTCGTCTGCTTTCTTTGGTTCATAAGGTATAACAAGTTTGTATGCTTTGCCTTCTTTAAGGTTTGAGAACCTTCTGTCAAAATTTTCTTTGACTGCTAACAAACCTTCTATGTCTAAGTCTTCAAATTTCGCACCATTTTTAGTCACAATAGCAAACTTAACAGGTTCGATGTTCCAAACTTTGTCAAATGTAGACTTTTCAAAATGGTAGAAGTAAACATTCAAATATATGAATGGGTCTAGTTCTTCTTTGACTTCTGTCATGTACTTGTTGACTGAAATATATTTCGTCATCTTTTCTATCGGATAAAAAAATATTTTTTTTAAATTTACTCAGAAAAATTTTTCTTTGTATATACGCCGTTCTGTATGTCTAAAAGATTTTTGACATTTGCCAAGAATGTACGTTTAGAAGCTGCCATATAACCATACTCTTGACAATATTGTTTATATGAATCGTACAATGACCTTTCATCTAAACACTCAAAGTTAGTCTCATCTATAAACAGTTCATATACACTCTTGTTTGCTTCTAACAATGTTTGTCTTTCTTCGGTATGTGGAATTTGTCTTGGATTGAAGTTAGAAATATCTAATGTCATGAAATATGAGAACAAGTGGTTGTAAAAGTTAGGTGTCAAAGTTTCTGCTAAGTCGTCAAAATATTCTGTATCTTGCATATGAGAATCTGACGTTCTGACAACTACATATCTTCTGTCAGAACTTTCTAACTTCATCGGAACAACATTGTTTGAAACCATAATGAAGTTTGCAACATTTTCACAAACTCTTTGGTCTTTATACTTTCTTTCAACAACTCCAACTTTGTCTGTTATAAGACTCTTCAAAGCATCTGAGTTTAAAACCTTTGTTGTATCTATACTTTGAAGTTCGTTACATACTATAAGTTTCATATTCTCTATTGAAGAGTTAAATTTACCGCAGATGTTTTCTAAGTTTGTCATATTAGGGTTCGAATAGCCCTCTAACAGTTTGCATAAGATATCTGTAAAGAAAGTGTTCTTACCAGTTCCTTGTTTTCCTATTATGATGAGAGCAGTTTCATTTTTAGCACTTGGATGTTGTAAGATGTTTGCAAACCAACATAAGATATACTCATAGACTCTTTCGTTTCCATTGCATATAATTTCTTTGACATGGTCTAACCAAGCTTCTATAATATTTTCTTTCCATTCTACTTGTTCGTATTTATATCCAGTGAAGATAGAATAGAAGTTTGGAGATGGTGTATAGAACTTTATACCACGAACTGAAAAATCTTCTAACTTTGACAATAAGATATCCCAAGCATCTAACATCTTCATACCAACTTGTACGACTTTTATTTTCTTAAGTTTCTGTCTACATTCTTGTTCTGAAACTATGGTTGCTCTTGGTTTGTTAAAGACAACATCCCATTCTTTCATAACATAACATTCTGGGGCAGAGTCAACATAAATGACTAAACGTTTCAAATTCTCGACTGCTTTGTTATAGTCTCTAAATGGACACATATTTCTGAACGCTTGGAAGTCATAAAAATCTGAAACGTCTATTCTGTACATTTTTATAAAAATAAAAAAAAATATTTTTTTATTCTTGAGCTTGTTGTTGCATTTGTTCCATTTGTTGCATTTGTTGTTCTTGAGCTATTTGTTGTTGAAGTTGTTCTTGTAGTACAATACTTTCACCAGTTGCATCTTCCAATTCGAAACTTTCTGCCGTCATTGACAAATACATAGGACATAAAAGTTTTACAGGAACAAAGTTTGCGTCAACTAAGGTTAAGTTTATGTTTGCCAAAGTGTTTGAGTTTACTAAAGCTGAAAACTCTGCATTCGAATGAACAATAGGCAAACCAGCAGAGAAGTGTTGTTTATACGCATGAGTATCTTTTGGTCATAGTAGTTTCTGTCGATATTCGAATAGCACTTTGAACCTAAGTTTGAAACAATATATAAAATAGGTGTACTTAAAGTCAATGGAACAGACAAACCTTGTATGACACCTTTTCCTGTTATAGGAAACTGTTGGTAGTAAAAACCAGATATAAGTTTTGTATTATAGCTCATATCGTTTATAGTAAACTCAGTCGGACATCCAAACATAATGAAACCTGCTCTAGTTGCAGCACATGTTACATCCGTCCTTAAAGTATTAAATAAGTCAACAAAACCTGTTGGTGGTATATCTGAGTAAGTATCTTCAAAGAAGTATTTTTTACCATTCACAACAACAAAGTCTTCTGGTGTCAAAAGAGCAAAACAGGCTTTAGTCGTCATCGTGTTTAAGGTCAGTTTACAATATCGTCCTTGAGGACTTTGTAAGTTTGTTGTTATAGAATTATATGACTCAGGGTTTTTAGTCGTAATAGTATAAACCACTATGTCTTCTGCCATTTACTTAGCAAGTAAATTTTAATGAAATGTTGTGGTCGTCAAATATTTTTATGACGTCTGGGAAACTATATTTTAAGTTCAACGTTTCACCTCCTTTCATAACGTATATCTTGTCAATGACATTATATGAAACACCACAGCAAGCAATGTCGGGTTCTATTTCTTTGATGTTTATATCGTCTGCCTCTGTCAAAAGTTTCAATAGTTCTTTCAAAACTTCATGAGGTGCGATGACATATGAGTTCACTTTTACAGGGTTGTGTTCGACCAAGTTTAACATTATACCCAAAGCTTGACAAATC